CCAATCCCTGACATTCTGTGATTCTGTATTAGCTTGCAATTTTCTTGTATTATACAAGGAAAAACTGCGAAATATCTGAGGTCAGCAGCCTTCTTTCTCATGATAACTACTTCTCCTTAGACAGCCAAAATAGTTGTTAACAGTTGACTCTTTCCTTTTGGGTACCAAGAATGTCACTGGGGAGCTTGATAAGACAGAGGCTTTTACAATGTAGGGCACTGAAAACACTTAGGTTATTCCTGACACCACTTCAAAGCAGATTGTGACAAAAAGGGTTCAAAAGGAATCCAAAAAGCTGTATTTTCTCATTAGTCAAACTGACATTTAACTTCTGAACAGCATTTCTGGATGATCATATTAACTTGGGAGAGGGGAGCAGATAATGACACTTCTCAGATATTGGCTTTCTTATGAAAAAACTAATATTGATGTCAAACAAAACAAGAGCTACGAAATAACGCACTTGCAGCGTTGGGCAGCAGTAGAAATCACTGCTGCACATTTCATATTACACTATGGCACGGATGGAAGCTAAATTTGTATAAATAACCTCTCATCTTACCTCTGTCTTTTGCTTTATCAGAAAGAAGCACCTCCACAGCCTCATACTCCCGGATGGCATCCAATATAATGTTTCCTTCCTTGTTGAAGAGGAAGAGCATGGGAATTGTGATATCATCCGTATTCTTCCCATCACCGGCCATTTGAAAGAGAGGAGCTGTGTCACTACTGCTTCCCTCATTGTCATCTAGCAGATACACACAAAAGGGAAAGCCAGCAAAGCTCTGGTTAGATAAACAGAGCACAACTCTGAGCTCCAGCAGACTCCTTCAGCACCTTTCTGCTGCCCAGACAGTTAAGAGGATCCCAGGCAGAACACACCAAGTTGCTTGTAAAAAGCAAAAAGCTAACTTGTGTACTTCGTTTCCCTAATATTTTTCATCTGTATCTTAAATCTTCCTCAGCACTCAGCAGACAGCACTATTGCAACACTCAGCAATCCTTCAAATAACTTTTAATCTGCAAAAACAGGGAGAGTCACCCAGCCCAATTTGTTTAGCTACACTTGCTGCACAGATCCAGACAAAACCGAAAGATTTCTTGGTCTTCTGAAAGCACAATTTCTGTGTCAGAGTACTGTCATCTCAGAGAGTTTTACAGCTTCTTGTCAGCTTTCCAGTACCTTCAAATCTGTAAAACGCAGGTTACATGAACAAAAACTTACTATTTTAAGAGCATAAAATATTCTTTACCAATAACAATGCCTCCTATTGCTCCAGCTTTTTGTATGTTTCGTGCCTTTTCAGCAAACATACACTGGCCTCGTTGCATCAGAGCAATTTTCTCTTTCACTGCCTCAGGATTAGTGATCTCTGAGCATCCATTATATGGCTTAATGGTTGCAACAAATCCTCTTGTCTGTTTGGAAAAACAAAAACAAACAGAAAGAGAATTAGAGCACTGGGTCCAAGCTTGCAAAAGATTCCTAAGCAATTTTTGTTTCTTCAGTTTAATCTAATGCATTTAGTGGCGTCTTCTGTCAGCGCAGGCAATCTTTACCCTGAAGCTGGAGTTCTAAGCAGCAAAGAATGACTGAGTGAAAACTTAATTCTTGTAGTCAGTGTATTTCATCTATACCCGTGAACTGTTGTCTCTAGAAAATTTTCTTCTTCCCTGCTGATGGCAGGGGGGTTGGAACTGGATGATCTTTAAGGTCCCTTCCAATCCAAACCATTCTATGATTCTGTGAACTGCTAGTCTGGAGCTGCTCTTTGGGGCTGCATTTCGCCCAACTCAAGTCATCTGGTTTCCCTACTGCTTCCAATAGGGACCACTGCCTCTGGGATATTTTCTTTTTCCATCTAGATACAGCCCTTTATAAAAGCTTGCACAAGAACAGCTTACTCTAACTCTAAAAGGGTTTCCTGGGAGATCTTATAGCGGCCTCCCAGTACCTGAAGGGGCTACAAGAAAGCTGGGGAAGGACTTTTCATAAGGGCAGTTAATGACAAAACAAGGGGAAATGGGTTTAAGCTGAAAGAGGGGAGGGGTTAGATGAGATATTAGGAAGAAGTTCTTCACTGTGAGGGTGGTCAGACACTGGAACAGGTTGCCCAAGGAAGTTGTAGATGCCCCCTCCCTGGAAGTGCTGAAGGCCAGGTTGGATGAGGCTTTGAGCAACCTGGTCTAGTGGAAGGTGTCCCTGCTGATGGCAGGGGGGGTGGGACTGGATGAGCTTTAAGGTCCCTTCCAACCCAAACCATTCTATGGTTCTATGATTCTGCAAATTCATGGCTGACACGGTAGGAAAACCTTCCCTGAAATTAACATCTCTTAGATGTACATTGCAGATTATATAAATTTGTTTTAAAAATAATCATACCATGTATGCATTTTAAATCCTAAATCACAACTGATGATCATGACTGATGACTCAGAAGAGCAGGGGCCACAGACCAGTAAAATACTCATCTAAAAGGTGGTTACTGCTGTCATTCTGTCATTGCTGTGCTCTGGCATTTTAACCACTGTAATTAATTGATCACCCTCTAGCTGGCCACCCTGAAATAGTACCAGTACCGTAGAACTTAGGCTTATGCAATAAGGAAAGGAACAGAAAGCTAGGAACAGATCACATATACATCCTACATACCCCTGCTTTGTGTTTGGATAGGTCCATCCCAAACTGGGCTGGTCCAGCAGTCAAGACAACCCTGCCAAAGAATGGGTGGGAAACAATTTGAACAGCACGAGGAGGGAGCTGTTGCTCTTTCTGTTGCTGACTGGAGAGTTCAATCATTTCCTGCATGAACCGTAAGCCGTCTTCAGCATCGAGTGAACTTGCTGCCTGAGTAGTAAAGAAACAATGAACAGTTTGTTCTTAAATGTTTGGGAAACCTGGGGAAAAAAAATATGAAGTTATGTTTGCTTGGATCACTGCTACAAAGCTTTTAAAAGACAGAGTGGATGTTCACTGGCACTCATTCATCATTTCAACCTTGTAGCACCTCAGAAGACTAAACCATCCTAACATACAGGCATCCTAAACAAATGGAAGTGTGTCACACTGCAGGCTGGTATTTGCAGATAAGATGCCATTAGCTACATGACTTTGACATGAACAGCCTCCATCTAATTTAATGGAAGATTAGCTAAAAGTGTTGCTGAGGTAAAATATTAACAAGCATCAGCATGCTAAATATAGTGGCATATTCAGCTCAAGTGCCCACTTCCACAGTCTGGCTGTTTTTTTTGAACCTGTAAGTGTCCAATACCATTCCTAGTAGGATTTTACTGAAAGTTTTTTAAAAAAAAGCACTCTCAGGTCTTACTTGCACTGCATGCTGTACTAATTGCACTCTTCCATCTTTCAGATGAATCAAACTGACTCCCATCTTCTTCAGTATCTCCAAGTGTTCAGGATTACTGGCCATGAAATCTCTGGCTCTCAATGGTGGTTTTGGTCCACTTCCCAAACTCTCTTCTCTGCCAAAAGATATTAGAGATCAAAGCTTTAAAAACCAGATTACTCTTAAAACATAACTCTCACGTTATTCCTACCACCACAAGATTAGAATTCCTTGGAATAATGTTGAGTACAAGCTTCACTAGAATGCAACTTCTCAGTTAAAACTGTCTTTTAAAAAAGTTGTTGATAGTATCAGTAATTTTGTAGTGCAACTAAGCACAGGTGATGTCGATAACAAAACTATCGTTCGCTATAGCTCTCATTTCTAAATAGTCTGCATAGTTGTAAGACAACCTAAAAACAGTTTTCCTCATACAGCTGCTACTCAGTTTTACTCCTTAAGTCAAAGAGGTGGTAGAAGGATGAATCTCCTCAGCTTCACACTGTCCTAAATTCTTCCACACAGGTGAAGTTATGTATGGTAGCATCATTACAAAGAAGAGTTGCAGAACTGTTCAAGAGACTACAGAAATTAATGTTACAAATCCAAGAGATGTATTTCCTGTAATACTTGGGCTACAATTCCCACTCGGACTACGTGGCTCATTAAGCTCCTTTTGCTTTGAAAGACTTCCTAATTCCTGTTTTTTTTGTCCTGCTGATGATGCCAGACAAAACATAACTGATTTTTCCTGTAGCTGCATTACCCATTCCAAAAGGATTCCAAACTCAAGCAGAGCAAGCTCCAATAACAGCTCATCCTTCTCCTTCCATGCATAACAGACCCTACTGCACTCACTCTGACACTAACAAAAGACAGAAAAGATTCATCTTACGCTCTGGAAATACCCCTGGGACAGCTCTTATCCACCACGTTTTTCAAAGGTTCACGAATGCTCTGAGCAAACATTGGGTCGTTTGGGAAAAGAATCTGGGTGTTCGGACAGGTCCAGTCAAAGTTGCTGTCATCCAGCTCTGTGTATTCTGTAGTCTAAAATGAAAGATACAGATTACCCATTAAAAATGCAGGTTACATTTTTATAGGAAGGAAATCAACAGACAGACGTACCCTTAAGTAATCTGTGTACTCAGGACACAGAGCAGCTGAATGCAATAAATGTCCCACAACCACACGGTTTCCAGGAATGAAGAAGACATCATTCTTCTGTGTCACACCTTGCAATAATAAAGGGTAACCAGAGCACTACAACCCCTTTCTAGGGACAGATAAATACAACACCAGTTCTGATTTGTAACTTACCAAACTTGTGCCTACTGTTTCTAGAATTTTTTGGCAGAACCAGCTAATTCTCTACTTCTCAAGCCCATCTCATGATGTAGCTAGTGCCCCTGTACTTTTATGTGCTGGACAACTAAAGGAAGTATCACAGAATCACAGAATGTTGGGGATTGGAAGGGACCTTGAAAGATCATCCAGTCCAATCCCCCTGCCAGAGCAGGAACCTAAATGAGATCACACAGGAAGGTGTCCAGGCAGGTTCTGAATGTCTCCAGAGAAGGAGACTCCACACCCTCCCTGGGCAGCCTGTCCCAGGGCTCTGGCACCCTCAAGTAGTTACAATTTAATTTGATTTATGTTGAGTGGACCATCTGCAGCCTTAGGTAATTCTTGCTTCGTATTACTGAGAATGTTGTATCTTTTCACATGAACAAAAGATTCTCCTCTTCAGGAGCCATACAGCCTTGCAAGTCAGATGAATCTATATATAATTCAAACAATCTCTATTTTCAGAAAAGATGACAGAGTTAACATTTGCACAAATGGCTGTTTTGTAACATGTGAAACCATGCGGAACATGTACCGTGATGTGGAGTCATATTTAGCCTGTTCTTACTTTTGCAAATAACTGTTTGGATAACCAGCAAGTTAATTTTCTCACCTAAAAAAAATTAATGTATTTATCTACTTGAAAAAAACAAAACAAAACAAAAAACAAACCAAATAAAAAAAACCAACCCCAAATTGTTTGCAATATATCAATAATTAAAAATCAAGTATTTAAAATCAAAGATCTAAAAGGGTATTAGTGTACTGGAATAAACACGTAAAGTACCTATGCTCTTAGTGTGACAAAGAGTAGTCACGTCACATAAGAAAGGTCTTGCAAGCACTACTGCAAGCCACCAGCATAGTAAGACACAACCTTTCCTGTTTATGAGAATAAATACAAACAGGATGTTGGGCTGCTAGTGCCAAGTACCTCACAGACATTTCAGCTTACTAGCACTGTGTTTATATTAAAAATAATTTACACATTCCATTTTTTCATATCCATTTTTCCCCCCTCAGATAAATTCCATAAAAGAATAACGCACTCGTCTTCACAGCCTTGTAGTCATCTAATGTATTTTGTTGACATTTCCAACAGATCTTTCTTACTTGTATCATGCACGTCAGAAGCTTGGACTTAAAGAGCTTCAGAAAACTGCGTTTGAACAATTTACTCTGTCTTCTTTATTGGCCTTTTGTTAACATTTGCTGTACTCAAGAGAATTACATACATCAGGCCAGCACTTCACACAGCATCAGCTGTGGGAATCCTGTCTGTCTCAAAAGTAACAACTCCTCTTGTTGGGAACAGAAGTTACACAAAATGCTCCTTCAGACCCTTCAGAGAACTTCCTGCATAGTTTAAAAAACATAGTCTCAATTTCCAAAACTCAAAGACAAAAAGATGATAAATCTTTCTTAAGGAAAGAAAACTTCACAGAGGGTGCAGGATCTCCGCCATCAAGGAGCATGAAAAACCAACCCCCTATTAAATGTATTTCCATTAGACATTAAGAGTAAGTAATTAGAAATTTTGCACAGTCTAATGCTAGAGTCCATAAACCAGAGTGCTGTCTACTCAAGTTTAAGATTCCTGCAGGACACGTGGTTTGACACACAACATTAGCATCTTCCTCTGATCCAGGCACTATTGTCAAACACACAGTAAAGGGTAAAAATAGAGGCACACTAACATAGGGAGAATTTACATCCCTGATCCCTAGATCCCTCTCTATCCACTTTCTCACACATTTCTTTCACTTGCCAGTAGTATTATTGCCTTAAAAATAAATTATGTCACCTTCTTGAGCACAAAAACAAAAGAAGAAACAAGTATTTATGATGCTTCACGGCACAGTTGCATTAATATAGGTAATTTTGGAAGGTTAAGTAATTTATAAACCCATAAATGTTCTCACATTTACACAACAGATGCCTATTGCATGGACTAAAACAAATATCTCAAAAGCTATAGCTGCATCTTGTCAAACCAACTTTGTAGCAGTCTCAAAAAAAAACCTTTCAAAATTTGCAAAGGGTTTGTGCAGTGAAATAACCAACAAAAACTTAGGCACGTTGTTGCAAATGTTTTACAAAAATTAACAGAAAATACAGATGAAGATAAAAATATCACAATGTGTTATTTTCAAATTTATACAGACGTGGGGAATGATTTTCTTTTTAAACATTGCTAATATTCCATAGCTTTTCTTTCTCAAGATTCAGGGGTGCAGGCTCCAGTCATGGGAACATTATTCATACTTATGTGAGTGTCACTGTTAATATGATGAAATAGTTCACATTAAATGAAGTGTTAAGACTGGTGTACTTCTTCAAACTATGATTTTCCCTGATTTTTCTTCCATTTCTTCTAATAAATAAGAAGAACTACTTCAAAGCATCACTAAAACTGATTGAAATGTGAGCCATTACTTACTGTATTTTTTTTAGAGATGGTTTGGTTTGTAGTGGAAAGCCAAAGTGGTAATAGATGAGCTTCTGTAGTGAAGATATAATCTTCAATGTTGAAAATCATGTCTTCCTTATCAGCAAACAGCAGGTAAAGATATTTAAACATCTCAGCCAGAAAGAAAGAGTCCATTCTATAGAAAAAAGAGGATGTCCTTGAGAAGATCCCCTTTATTCTAAAACATCAGTAAAACACATACTCATATTGCTCTCTCTCTCTGAAGACTTCATGACTATTATTGTTGAACTTAATTCCACTGGCATTCCTTCCACTTGGAAGAAACTATGTTTGGAGGGAAATGATTCAGCATGTTCAGTACAAAACAGCATTACAGAAAAAACAAATAAACCTCTTCACAAACCTCTAGATTTGAAGTGTATTTTGTTTGAAAGCAATTCTTCTCTTGCTCTGACACAAATGAAATGTTATTAAACTAAAGATATTCTTATGTAACAAACTATAAAACTATTGAAATAGTGTACGGACTATGACAAATGGGTAATTCAAGACTTGGTTATCAAAGTGAAGACAGACAGCTACTCAGAAGTCAATTAATTCAATTATATAAACAGGGTAACTAAATTTTTTTTCCTATAATCTTTTTATGAAAAAAAAAAATCATTGCAAAAGCTCCTACCTGTCTTCATGACTTCCTGTACGAACATCCTTCATTGCAGCAAACCCACAAGGTACTCTTGCATACTTGTTCAAGTTTTCAATGAGTGTTTTTCCTACTTCTAGATAGTAAGGGTCCCCAGTAGCCTGTAAAAGAAAAACAAACAAAACCCAAAACCAAACGTATAGGTGCACCTAGACTTTCTGTACAATTAGCAGCTTTCATTTTCCTAATGCTCATTTCCTGACTCCATACTTTCTCAGAGTTAAGTGTGCTAATTTATTAACAGTGCTAAACAGTCACAAGAGAGACTTCTGAGATATCAATTTTACAGACATGCAGATAAGCACATGGAAATACTTAGAGAAACTCAAGACACTTGGGCACTGCTCTTCTCTGCAAGGTACAACTGGCTTTTGCTTTTAGTCTCTTTGAGATCAGCAACACCTAAATAAATATCTTTAAAAATATAGGCCTTTGTCACTTAACAGTTTTCTTTCTAATTCCGGGCATATAAAACAAAATTTCTTGAACAATTTTTGATAACCAATACTTCCAATCTTGTTTATATACAGAACTGGCTCCAGTAGATAAAATAAGCTGGAGACAGGCTACTCATTCTATATAAAACATCTAATAAATTTCTAGGTGCTCAACAAGTGACCAAAAGTCAGAGGAATGAAATTCATCTCACCTTATACAAGAAGTAAGTGCTTTCAGCAAATTCGGGCCTCAAAGGATGCTGAGCCCAGTGAACTCTGAAGTCTGTTGTGAATGCCTGAGGAAGAAAAAGAACAGACAAAAATAAATACCCAGCACAGGTTTATTTTGAATCCTATGTTAACTGTATTACAACAGCTAAAGCACACGCCAGTGGAGGACTGAAGGCCCACCACCAGTCTCAGGAGGCTACTGCCCAGTTAACACACTGGAGGCCAAAACCTAAACCAATGCTCTCGCTCAGCTCACTCAGTCCAAGTGAGATTTAAGCTTATGCTGGTGCAGGAATCTGGCCACCACCAGCCTCTTGACAAGTGTCCAGGCTCCTTCAGCACAGGCATACCACTGCTCCTGCAAGCCAACCACATCGGCCCGCTGCCGGGCTGTGACACAGAGATGGCCTGAGCTGGGACAAGCACCGTTTCTGCCAACAGACCTACCTACCACCTGACACTTCCAGCACACTAAGCTGTCATTTTAGACTGATGGATTGTAAGCAGCTGTTTCTAATGTTAATACCACAGACAAAGTCATTTATCTAAAAATTTCCTAGTCTATGTATTCACTCTTGACTTGCACTGGCAAAAGCCACTTCTGTGATGGCTTATGGGCCCTACTAGTTTTTACTAGGGTTTAAACTAAGTCTTTGCTAAAGGGGATGGCATATTGGCTTCAATACAACTAACTGATCTTTCAAAGTTTCCTTCAAAGCACTGAAAAAAACAACCCCAAAAACTCCTAAGGAGCCAAATCATATAATTTTTAAAACTAAAAATAAAAAAAAAATAAAAAATCATTCCACTGCATAGAGAGCATGCTTTGGTCTCCATTTCCACATCAGGTGACTGCAATGTTAATTAAAATGTTCTCTAACAGAAATAAGCTTACACCAGAGGAAAGTCAGAATTACAAGTGGAGTCAGAGGCTTTCTCATATATTCTGGGTCATCACAGACTAAAGACACACTTCAGCAAGTAAACTTAGCTTTTCTGGGCAGAATTAACTAGCTCAAAGACTGCACTTGCAACATCTACAGAGAAGTTTGTGTACCTACTTTCAAGGACATTATGCAGAATTTCAGAACATCCTCTCTGAACAATTCAGTCTTTAGTTTCCCTCTCTGGGTTAATAAAGATGACTGTGATCTTTAACATTAATGCTATTACATTACTAAGCAGCTACTACTGCATGTGCTTACACAAGTTTTGCATACTGAAATGAGTCAAGATCAATTTTGAAAGGCTGAACTATAAAGCCTAGGCAATTATTAATAGCAGCAGCTTCCTATTATTGTGTTAATTATGGCATAACTGAAGGAAAAATATTTCATATCCAAAACACAGTTGTCATATGTGCAGAACTGTAAATCACGTAAGAATGCTGTGAAAACAACCCTTTGGTTTTAATAACACATATACCTACAATTTTTTCAAATGGATATCTGAGACTGCTCAAATTGAGGTAAAAATCAGTTTACATGATCAAAAAATTACTACCTTACCTCTGGAAGAAAGTTATGCTTTTTTATAACCTGATACAGCATCTCATGAGTTTCAATAGCAGGTCTAATATCACCCTTCAACACCTAAAATTCAAATAGGAAAATTAACACTAATTCATCAAGCATAGGAAAAAAATTCAAAGTTAGGGACACTCACTGTGTTCATGTAAAGCTACAGACCAATTTCTACATTTCCAGCAGGTACTTACAGTAAATATTACCCCCCCATCAGTGTTAGCCATAGATATTCCATAAGAGCTTTTCAAGCAAAATCAGTGAGCTCATCAAGACTACTGTCTAGGCAGAAAAAGGATCTCTACCACTCACAGAGAACTGTGGTGGAAATGTGATTTAGTTTGTCTTAAAGATGTCAGTGGCATACAAACTAGAAAAATGTTCACTAGATTGCCAAAAAGGCAGCTTAATTTTAGTGTTTTCCTCACTAGGAGTGAAGGAAGCAAGTCATAAATACTTTTCTTGATACTCAACATGGCCAGAAATGCACGTTAACTGCATCACAGCATTGAAATGACAGGAGTGAGTGAATACAGAAACCCCCATTCAGTATTTCTGAAAATCAAATCACTAAGCTTGACTTGTCAATTATATACCCAGTCTATTTAATGTTTACTTGTTATTAAAATCATCTGTACATGGGTTTTAAACCTTACCTGCAATCCAGGGAAGAAAGCTAGCAAAGAATCCATCCAGGTCCTAGCATTTAGCATTGGTTTATGAATATGAACATCGAGAAGAAGAGGTGGTTGGCTAATGTATCTCATTATGGCATCGTAGTGCTGACAAACATCAGAAAAACCATGAGTTTATATTGTACAAACCAGATAGAGATCACCAGACTATGGCATTTTATTTCAATGGAAGAAGCAGTAATACATTCCCAATCATTATTACATTTGGCAATGCACGGTAGTTTCTAGTTTTACAAGCTAAAAAGAAGAGTAGTAAATGCTGCAAAGCTCCACAGTATTACACATGCAATGCACGCTGCATTTTCCAAGTAATACACATACACAAAAGAATATTCCACAGCCATGTGATAAACAAGTAACTGTCACAGTTAAGGCACATTTGTTTTAGCTGAATTTTTAAGCACACACTAAACAAAGTTGAAATTGCTTTCTCTGAACAAGAGAATTCTAAAGCAAATACATCTTAGGAGGAGAAGGGGAAAAGGAGGTATATAAAAATTAACAAAGCAGCTGGACTTGATGGCTCAGAGGAACTTTAAAACCCCCTAGGTCACTTGTCAACTTGCTGACCTCCAATCCTATACTCCCCAAGATAACTGCCTTCCTTGTTTTCTGAAGCACAGAAGGTACAATCATGAGCACATGAGCCAAACTGACAGGAAACAGTTAACAGACATAACTGAGGCAAAATATAATAGTAGTGGTCGCAGATTAGGAATATGAAATAACCATTACACTTAAATTGTTGCAACAGGCCTTTAGCTACTGAATTATTCCAATTTCAATACTGCTTATGATATAAAATCATGCTGTATGATCTAAAATCATTTTGTGATATAAAATGTTTTTATTGGATACTACTATTTTCAAAAGAAAGAACACCTTTATGAAAGCATAATGATGCTGGCAAAGTTGCTTAGTAACCTAAGCATGTTTTTTAGCTGGTAAGTATACTTAAATGTATACTGGGCCTTAGGATCTGCAGTGCAATGCAAGATCCACACTGATTTTCAGATCTTTTTTGTTGCTCCAGGACAGAAAGAAATTGTACCATAGCTTTTAACAAGAGGCCTTTATGTTGTTTCATGTTTGCAGTATTACACTCTCCAAGGCGATCTTGAAATAGAGTTTCCCTGGTACTGGAAACATGGAAAAAGGTCCATAAGATTCAGACTTTCACTGAATGGGGGTTAAAATAGCTGCTCAGGTGACAGATCAACACAGATTAGCAAAAAATCATATTAAAGTCAGCAGGCACTAGACACATCAGAAGCCAAAGACACATCAGAAGCTAAAGATCCTTTCACGGGCTTCTCAGGCTAACAGCTGACTGACAATACAATTAGTCTTAAATCTGTCTTACAGGAGGCACAAACCTGAGCAAGGCATCAACTTACCGTGTTAAATCTTTCCAGGAAACTGTCATCTCCCAGCAAGACGTAGGCTTTTAATAAATATTCATAATATGAATCTATTCCTGCTCCAACTCCACTATCTAGAAACAGCAGAAAATGAAAAGGTGGTTTTATTTTAAGTAGCCTTATGGGTATTTTCACATGGTTTCATTTTGATGTTAAAGGCTCTTTCAGTAAAAGGAAAAGCCACATATCACTAGAATTAAGGCACAGATGGATGCAGAGACACAATATTGTATGTCTACACTAAAGGTTTTGCAGTATCAGTGCATGAACAGACATGCATTGAAGCCAGTTGTTTCACTTTTCTCATAGGAAAATATTTCTACTGGCTGCCATTACAACCACAGTCCTATTTATATTTTTCCTTACGTATTTATAGTAGAATCTCTGAAAACTTACCCCAAGGCATTCCCCTCTCAGTATTAAAGTGAATCAGAAAACACTTTCTTTGCCATGAATAAAACTAGTTTCTCTACCAAAACACCCATTGAGAGCAAAGCCAGGCTTCGCTGTAGCAGGTTTCTCCAGCACTGACATCCTGTAACTCCACTTGCCAATCCCATTAATATTTTTCAATAGTCTAGATAAATGTGTTAGGGGGATATGGGGTGGCGTGCCAAGAGTTTTTTCTTGCCCAAAACCCACTTGTGGTCACTGATTTGGAGTCAGTAGAGCACATACCTTTACGGACCCAGTCTCCAGTATGAATGTTAATAGTAACACCCACTAAATTGCTGCTGCGCTGTCTCTTTTCCCAAATAAAATCGAGCGCTTTCCGAGCGTATTCCTGCAACAACAAAAAAATGCTTCTTAAAGGAAATTATAGAGAAACACAGATACTGAAGACTGTTATCCTTTTGTGCATTGAAATTAAGATGCTATGAAGTAACCAGATGTCTCTTATCTATCAATTATAAAACTCAGTATTACATTACATAAATAGTAGCATGTTCAGTCCACGTTTTATTAAATAGTTATTCAGTTGTTGATTAGAAAGAGCAGTGCTTGTCTACACTATTATTTGCCAATATACTGTACAGTCCTGGGCAAGTCAAGTGTTCCTCTGCACAAATTTCCTACTCTAAAATTGTTCAGACAGGACAGTGTAACCTAATAAAAATAAATAAATAAATCAAGAAATTTAACAGCTTTAGAATAAAAATTGCTATTGCTTTCAGACATCTCAAAGTAGAGTAGCAGCCCCTATTCATTGATATACAAGTTATATGCATTCTTTATATACACAAAAAGTCAGCTTTTGTGTACAAAAAGGTAACAACCTACTCAAAGGTAAAAAAGGTAACAAAAAGGTAAAAAAGGTAACAAAAAGGTAACAACCTACTCAACAAAAATGGCTTTAAATTGCCAAACACACGCATGGGATTTTAGGGGGCAAATTTTACCAAAACAAACAGCACAGGTCCAGCTATGCTTCCAGTAGGTTCCATGAAACTAAATTAAATACCAGGCCCATACTGAAAAATTCCAAAAAATTCCAGTCTGAAAAAGAACATGCTTTCTTGTCCATATCATCTTAAGAAAAAAAAATTCTCAAACATTTTCCTTTAGTTTCCTGATGTCAATATTCCCTCAGTTAAGTCCTGCACAATTTCAATGGAACTATACAAGTATGATTTTTTTTTTCCTTTTTCTTTTTTTAAGCTGCATTTTAAGGAACAAGTATCTTGCTATTTTTTTCCCTAGTCCTGACCCTCTACCCAAAAACTACGTAAGTATTATCCTTCAGCTAGTTTTCAGTATAATCATCTTGTTTACTTCTGTATTACTGTAACTACTTTCAAACAAAATTAGTTCCTGTGATTTTTAAACTGTCACATTAACACTTTCAGAAAAAAAAGCCCACAAACACAAATCCAAACACGTGCAAACATTTGTGTAGAACAGCTAAGATATGCACCCATTTGATGAACTCAAAATTGGTTTTCCCAAATTACCAAAACTGAACAGAACACTAATAAACACCTAATCCCAAAAAATAAGGTATCACGGAAAGCAAACCTCAAATATAGATGTTCCTGTGAATCGGCTTAAAGCTGCAAACTCAAGGATCAAGGTACCTGCACAAGCGGTGCAGGTATCGGTTTCTGTTCCTGTCCGTGCTTCTGGATGTCTTACACCAAATTTTAAGTTAACCTAGAGAAAATTACAGATTATTATCTTTATTTTTACTAGCTGAAAGAATTTACACTCCCGTGATAGGTCTGTAGAGGCAACTATATAATCTATGCTTTTTCCAAAGGCAAGGAAAAAAGATCCCACACCCACCTTCAGTTTTGCTCTGCCTTACCCCATGCTGTCAACTCAAACATGCACACACAGTTATCCACAAGTACCCAAAACACTCAACCTTACAAAATGAGGACTGGCCCAAATACCTGTTGCCTGGTTCACTGGACATTTGAATAGAAGAATACCCTAAAAATCTAATTCTACCAATTTATTTACCAGCAAACCAGAAACTCAAAACATCACAAGTGCTCCTGGAAATTACGTTCTGTGCATATCTCACTACCCCTGGCTCCAGAGAACACCTGCCGGATGGACCTGCTTTTGTTGTGGGCAGCACATAGCTTTCTGCATTCTGGAGAGGGCCCTCTCAGCAGCAGATTGTCAGACTCTGAACATTTCAAATTAGACATTTTCACTAGAAAAATGCTGATTTACTGAACCTAAATTTTTAATTTATAGGAAAGTTTCCAATCAAAGCCACATCTCAAACTCAGTGGAGGATACACACGGGAAGTAGTTTTCTGTCATTCAAAGGCTATGTACCACGCTTTGTTTGAATATGATGAAAGAGTTTACATTAAGTGAGTATTTTTAGATTAAAACTACCTTTGTCCTCTTAAAAATGTGGATGTAGACAAGGAAGATTAATCAGTTCTGTGTTAAATTAACAAGCAAGTGCTTTCAAGTTCCTCTTTCACTGTCTTTGTGAGAGATATGTGCCAAAACAAAAATTACTCTTCTCAGCTACTTGGTGGTGCCTATAGTAGCGGGGAGCAAGGAATCAGTGGACAAGATTTCTGCTGTTACTATTTACCCACAACAATGCATATTAAAATTTTCAGAATTTAATTTTTAGAATTTAATTATTAGAATTTTCAGAGCTGGAAATGTGTAGGAATCCAGAGAGCCTAAAACTGTATTTTAAAATGCTAGGGAGCACTTTTTACACTTGAGCAGTTTATCAGCTTTAGATTTTCTGTATACTTAATAAATACACAGTGATTTTAGAAACTGAGATGAAAACAAAACAGCACAAATGTTGCTTACAGAAGTAATTCTGAACTGTAGAAACCAGAGAACTTACTCTTGGATAAGGGAGACCACTAGTGGTGTTAAAAGCAGGTAAAAGCTTGTAGCCTAGTTCCTTTGCCATGTGCAGAAGTTCACCGTTGTACCACTGCATATATTCACCTTTTTCTTTCAGCATAATTGCCACTGAATGCCCACCTAGGAGACCTCTAAACAGAAGAAAAATTACCCACATCTCAATAGGTGCATTCATCTCAACAGCCAGTGCAGAAATTTCTACAATTTAGACAACGATGTAAGTCACTGTGCTATGTTCACGTGGCCCTACTTTTCACAAATGCTGAGCAGATGCAACTCCAATTACAAACAAGGTGAGCTGTCAATATTTTGGAAGCAATCCTTATTGTTCCAGTCTCAGCCCCAAACTATAGTAGAATCATCGATTCATCAATATAGTTAGTCAAGAATAACAATTAACACCTCTAAAACTGCATATAGCAGCTTAAAACTAACCTGGCTCTGATCCTGCTTTGAGCAGCAAGTTGGATTAGAGACCTCCAGAGGTGCCTTCCAACCTGAAATAATCCATTACCCTAAGAACTGGAATACTGCCTCTGTTAAACCGAGTACTGAACAGTGCAATCTGTAAGACTGTTCCCTGGGCTGCACCCAGAGCAGCGTGGGCAGCAGGTGGAGGGAGGGGATTCTGCCCCTCTGCTCCGCTCTCCTGACACCCCACCTGCAGTGCTGCCTCCAGTGCTGGGGCCACCAACAGCAGGACATGGAGCTACTGGAGCCAGTGCAGAGGAGTCCATGAAGATGATCCAAGGGCTGGAGCAGCTCTGCTGTGAGGACAGGCTGAGAGAGTTGGGGCTGTTCAGCCTGGAGAAGAGAAGGCTCCAGGGAGATCTTATAGCGGCCTCCCAGTACCTGAAGGGGCTCCAGGAAGGCTGGGGAGGGACTTTGGACAAGGGCAGGGAGTGACAGAACAAGGGGTGATGGCTTGAAACTGGAAGAGGGGAGATGGAGATGAGATGTGAGGAAGAAATTCTTTGGTGTGAGGCTGGTGAGACACTGTCCCAGGTTGGCCAGAGAAGCTGTGGCTGCTCCTCCCTGGAAGTGTTCCAGGCCAGGCTGGATGAGGCTTTGAGCAACCTCGTCTAGCAGAAGGTGTCCCTGCTGCTGGCAGGGGGGTTGGAACTGGATGAGCTTTAAGGTCCCTTCCAACCCAGATCACTCTGTGATTCTATTATTAAGAAAAAACACAGCTACCTCAGCCAGCATGTACAACTTTTTTAAATCCAAAAAGCTACATCTGCAGCAGTTAGATGGGGGTCAACTTGATTCAGTACCACTGCAGCAATTCCTGCCCAGTATTTTAAAACCTTTCTTAAGGCAGGTGCCAAGCTATGCTAACTGACAAAGGCACAACTGTTTAAAATGAGGTAAAACAGCACAGACAGGTATGCCTTAAGGACATTTAGCTAAAAACCACATTTTTAAGAGTTTTGAAAACATAGAAGTTACTCACCCAAGGACTCTTATGTTGGTTTCAAAGACAGATACAACTATGTCGTTATCTAAATTAACATCCTTTATTACTTTTTTTACAGCCTCTTCGAACTCTTTGGTTTTATTTAACACCTGGAATACAAATGTAACCAGGTGTTTAGGTTCCAACACAGCTAATACTGAGGAATGGAATAACAAGTGCAATGAGTTACAAAAGAAAAAGTTACAAAAGTTCCAAAAGAAAGCCTTTAACATGCCTTAGACTGATAATTTGGTCCTGCTGGGGCATCATCTCATCCAGTGCAAACAGAAATTAGTGTTACTGTTTTTCTCATGAGATATACAGAAGAGAATAAAAGCTGTACACAAAGAATGAAGTCACTCAGAGTGTACCTCAACTGCTACCCAGGGATTTATTTGTTTGGTCCTTCCCCTGTTCCCATCCCATGACTGCAACAGGACTCAGTGGGCTGCAGGCTGTGCTGGCAGGGCAGGTGAAGACTGGCCTGCTCCAGTGCCCAGGGTTTCCCAGAAGCCACCTATCCCAGGACCAAGGAGCCACATCCTACGCTGGGTGAATCATCCTAGAAGTCTTCCTCCTCCCAACAGTTTTCTCCTTGTGCCTGAAGAATGGCTCAGGCATTTCCTACAGATTTTATTTCACACTGATTTTCTTTTAGTTCAATCAGTCTTTAACAAATCTTTGTGACTTATCCAATTCATTAGCTAAGTGCCTTTAAATTCCACAAGTGCTAACCCTGCTCTGAGACAAGAAAACAATAAATGAACCACAATAATCCATCTGAGTGTCTGATAGAGAGACTGGGAGGTTTAGACTCCACATTTTCAGCATTTGTCATCAAGGGTCATCTCACAGCACCTCATAGAAAGGGAATGGCTGTCAGAGAAAGAGCTTTATATGATTTTTACACCCCAAATCAGTGCAAGAAGGATTTTCAAAACTTTTTAGATTTGTTTACCTGAAGACACGAATGGCCAAAAATTCCTAATTCCCAAACTCTATTTTATGTTGACAAAAGTATGTCAAAAGGATTGAAATCTAACAAAAAGTAGTTTGTTAATGATTGGAGTCTTTTCATAAGAGACAGAATGTAAGTTTGGCAACATTGCCTGGCAAACATATCCAGAGTTGCATTGTTTTAACATATATTTAAGTGCATGCAAATTCATCCATGAAACACGTACATACAATTTAAAAAATAAAAATAAATATGAGTAGGCACTGAGATGTACGCCCATAAGTCAGCACGTTGTTTTAGACTATAATGGGAAGCAAACTCACATATTTTTTGTTAAGTTAGAGCTCAAGAAAAGCAAGATAAGAAAGCATCAATGATATGTAAAGGAAATGTTCTAGTTTTCTTTTTGCAACGAACTCCCAACAGCATCCACAGAGCACTCAGAAGTTCTTACACACAATAGCCACTTTGAACAGGTGGCTAGTGATCGACAGTGAAGAAAGATCAGTGGTTTTTCTATATAATTTAACAAAATAGAAATCTAAAAATAAGTCTGAACAGTAGAAGGCAGTTTTTTGCTTTATCAAAGTTTATTCATAGATTACACCTACCACAAGAGTGTCCAAGGTATCAATCAAGGTCAGTGAAAACCTAGGAAACAAAATTTAAAACAGATTTACTAGAAACCTGTATGTGTAGAAATTAAATTATATTTAATAGTAACCAATTTCAAGGAAGAAACTAAATTCTCATAGACTATCAGCTGCTAGAAAATTAGTTGTATACAGTGCATTTAATAGCAAAACATCCTGCTAAGTTTCTTCGTAAGCAAATTAAGGTTTTATTTCTAGCCTCCAGTCAAATCTACTAAGAGATGCAACAGAATGGTTCAAAGTCTTTTTCCAATATAATTTTTTCTGTTTTCTTTTTTCCCCCCTCATGAAGAATGCTGACTTACTAAGTGTAATAATAAAAAGGTTTATTTAAGAAAATAAAAAATCATTCCAAGCTAAACTTCTTCTTTCAGAACCTGTTCTAATCACCTACTTCAGAAAAAGCTGCAATTTTTTGCAATCAAACTCTGTTAAGTGGTAAAAGACTAAAGAAAATGCTGTTATTTTGTGATGAAATTTCTATGCAGGATATACTGAACAGGAAAAGGTACAATGAAGGGCAGGAAGTGGGGGCTGAAGGTGTGTAGCAGATTCTGTACCAGGAACAAGTGAATAAATTACCACTCTTCAGCCTGTAAAAGCTTAAGTGTCATTCTATGAAGATTTAAAAATTGCACATGGCATGAAGAAAGTGAATGAGAATTGCTATTTACAGTTCCTCACACTAAGTTCAACCATGGTGCCATCAGAGACTAAAGTCTCTTTAAAACTCCCACTAAACCTAGTGCCCAGCTGCAGATGGATCCACACTGTGTGAAACATGACTATCACAATACAGCCTGTCCTGTTCCTATGTTCTTCTCTAGGCCTGTTCTAGTGCATACCAAACTGAGTGGACCTTTGGCCTCACCTGATAAAATCACTCTTACGTTAAGAAACACATACCATGCATAGAACAGAATGTAAAAAAATATGGTGATATTCAAATTGAAAACTTTGGAAATGGTTACATCTGCCTATTGAAGAACAAGAGTCAAGAATTTAAGCAAGTGCCCAGTGTTTGAGACCCTGTAGGCAACACACGACTATGCATGGAGCATAATTAAAATTCCAGTTAAGTGGTCACATATTATACAGGCTGAGAGAGTTGGGGCTGCTCAGCCTGGAGAAGAGAAGGCTCCGGGGAGATCTTACAGCGGCCTCCCAGTACCTGAAGGGGCTACAAGAAAGCTGGGGAAGGACTTTTCATAAGGGCAGTTAATGACAAAACAAGGGGAAATGGGTTTAAGCTGAAAGAGGGGAGGTTGAGATGAGATATTAGGAAGAAGTTCTTCACTGTGAGGGTGGTCAGACACCGGAACAGGTTGCCCAAGGAAGCTGTAGATGCCCCCTCCCTGGAAGTGTTCTCAGCCAGGCTGGATGAGGCTTTGAGCAACCTGGTCTAGTGGAAGGTGTCCCTGCTGATGTCAGGGGGGTTGGGACTGGATGAGCTTTAAGGTCCCTTCCAACCCAAACCATTCTATGGTTCTATGATTCTATATTATAATTTTCTTTAATTTCTAAAGATACAATCTCATTCCGTGAGCGTTGTTCTACAAGAAAAAGAGATTAACCAGTGGCTGTGCACAACTGCTTAACAAATACACAACTTTTTCCAAACAAAAGGGGGGGAGATTATATACTGCATAGCTCGAGAATGCTGGGGTGCAAGTATACCCCTCAGCTCTCCGGGGAAAGAGAACTGTCCTAGCTGCCTCGTCCTCTCAATTTATGATTGCAAAGGCTTGTAGAGAACACGACTGATGAGCCAGCTGGCAAGAAAAAGCACTATATAAGAAATCTGACAAATAATAATATAGCTGATTAGGAGGAACAGAAAAAAACATGTATACAGAAAAATAATAAATAAATACTTACACTATTCAATGCATCTAAAGGGACAAAAGGTATTTTTACTCAAACAATAGTACATTACTATGTACAAAAAGGTCATTAAAAAGAATGCATGACCAGGATGCATTTTCTTGACACTTCTTCCTCATCAGTCCTACCTCTCAATGCCTCCAAGGCAGCAGGCTTAGACAGGACTCTGTGGACTAAGGAACTTTTGTGCATAACAAAAAATAACACGCTCGATATCACAGAGCGAATTAGTAGTATTTAAGACAAGGACTTCAGTTTTGATTAACACTATTCTGCTTAGGGATACTAAGCAGTGATATCAATAAAAACAAAAAGCATCAGCTATCTGTTATTAAATATTTGCTCTATAAACAGCAGACATACAGACAGCATTCCTCCTGAAAAAAAATATCAATTACAAACACATTTGTAGTGATTTAACTTTGTCTCTGTTCAATTTAAGATGGAGAAAAACCGTCCTTAAATCTACATTTTGATGATCAAAGGATCAGTACTTTGTACTATAAGCTATTTTAAAAGGAAAAACATGAAGAATTTCCATGTCTGATATAACATTTTATACTTTTGCTAAGGCCTCAGGCTACCACACACATGATCATCATTTGACTAATTATGTTTCCAGAGGCCCTTCTACTAAACAAAAAATTTAAAAAGCATTTTAAATATCACTTAAGGCCAGCATAATGGGTAACAGCTGACTCTTCTGTGCAGCTGATAATTAACCTTTAGAAACCCTATTTAGTAGAGAAATTTACTACCATAAATGACAGCTCCTATTTGGAAGGCTTTCCTATGGCAAATATTTGGAAAATGACTTAAAGAAACCTATCTTTGGATCTCACTCACCGGTCAAGTCTCTTTTTCTGATTAAGGTACAATTTCCTATCAGTTAACATCATGGGAGGAAATAATAAAAGTATTTCTGCCTAACTTGCAAGAAGTTCACAGTTCCAGCTTTCTTTCCAACAGCTTCCCCCCCACCTCCCAGAAGAGAACTTAAGAGACAAATTATGGATTTGTCTACACCCACAGAATCTTTTTCAACAAATTTAAGTTTGTGGACATGTCAAGTGAAGAAACAAGTTTTATGGGCTGCAAATTGTACTCAGATTCCCAGATGTTTACATGAGACAGTAACCATTTCAAACACTAACTTTCCCAGGGCATCATCCACATCCCCTCGACTTGGCTCCTGACCCCGTACTCGTCCACGACAAGTTAAAGGCATGAGTTCATCAGCTGGATACGCATGCTCCTGTAGGGGAACAAAACAAGGGAGCAAGGTACAAGTGTTACAAACATCTCACCAATCCTCAGAGACTATTAAAGGAAGCCCAATTAGCCTGTACTTCAGAAAACCTGCATGAAAATCACGGAATCTTTGAGGTGGGAAGGGACCTCTGGAGGTCATCTTGTCCAACCCTTCTACTCAAGCAGGGCCACTTAGACCTGGTTGGCTAGTACTGTGTCCAGACAGCATTTGAGTATCTTCAGAGAAGGAGACTCCACAACCTCTCTGGGCAGCCTGTGCCAGTGCTCGGTCACCTTCACAGTAAAAGTGTTTCCTGATGTTCAGAGGGAACCTCAAATGTTTCAGTCTGTGCCCTTTGCCTTCAGTCCTGTCACTGGGCACCACTGAGAAGAGTCTGTCTCTGTCTTCTTTACAGCCTTCCTTCAGGTATTTATCTACATTGGTAAGATCTCCTTAAGTCTTCTCCAGGCTGAACAGCCTGAGCTCCCTCAGCCTCTCCCCATAGGAAAGATGCTCCAGTCCCTTCACCATCTTCATGGCCCTTCCTTGGACTCTGTCCAGTATGTCTGTACCTCTCTTGTACTGGGAAGGCCAGAACTGCACACAGCACTCCACGTGTGGCCTCACCAGCGCTGAGCAGAGGGGAAGGATCCCCTCCCTCAACCTTTGCCCAAAGCAGCCCAGGATTAGCCACCTTTGCCACAAGGACACATTGCTGGCTCATGGTCACCTTGGTGTCTACCAGGACCTCCAGGTCCTTTTCTGCAAAGCTGCTTTCCAGTAGGTAATGATTAAACTATGAACAGAGCAATGGGACCTCTCTCCTTCTCCCTCTAACCTCCTAGGGAAGTCTGGAACAACTAAAGGCACATTAAAAAAATATATAAAAAATTAACTTGAATAGTTAATTGTGCATTTTCTCCAACAAGGTGCATATGACACTTCCTACAACGTCCCTCGGGCAGTTCTGATCCCAAAGATGAGTTTAAGACCTAAAACTAATGCAGTCATTATCAACTGGCTGATATTTCATGCAGAAATTAGTAGGAATTAGACTTTAAAGTGACTTTGGAAACATTTCCAAATGAACATAAGTGACTCGGGGTCACAGGTAAGGGAACTCACCTCGAAGGTATAATAATAAATTGGTAAATACTACACAAGGCATAACAAAAGATAACATCCACAAAAAAAGCTTAACAAGGCTGAGCCTTTTACAAATGTAACTTTTTTTTGGGGGGGAAGAGACACTGCTGGATTTTTTTTTTTTTTAAGCAATGGTTATTTTCCATATTTCTAGAAAAAGCACTCTGTGATTCAAGCTGTACTGGGATATGATTTCTAGTCAGTCAGGCTGAAATAACAGGAGTGGCATCACTGCCTAAGTCAAGCACACTGAATAAAATGCCTGTTCCTATTCCCTCTCAGGCCAAGGCAAGTTCTGCAGGTTTAAACTACCACCAAAATGTGGTATCAAATGAAATAAGACACAAATTTGATACTCATTTTTGTGCAACAGGAGAGGTTTACTGAAAAATTTTCAGAGTGGCCACTGACATTAAGGAAAATGAATCTTAAATAGATCTAATTTCAAAAAAATTGCAAGAAATTGCCTCTCTGTTAGAAGCCCAATACAAGGGATTTGGGATGGAGCTTCTCTCTTCTGATTCCATCAGGAAACTGGCTGCTGTACTGTGCTCTCTCCAATTTTACTTTTAGTGGAGAACTAACATATGGCAGGATAAAAAAGTTCAATTACTGCACTGAAACTGCAAGCAATCACGTTCAAAGTCTTTCCAAATATATGGTACAAAAAATAATCTATATTCAAACATGAAATAGAGAGGGAAAGAAGGAACATTTTACTATAAATAAACAGCTCTTACAGCAACTTCTTTTGAAACTGATGGTTTGTTTCCCTGTCTACCACCCTCCCAAGTATTTTGGTCTTTGCATGACCCTGTTCTCCTCAAGTTCAACTACAAAAGCCAGAATCTAGATCATTTTAATATGGCTCAGATGTTTCTGAATATCTGTGCAAAGTATTCAGAAAAACAGACTAAAAGAGGTACATGACAAAAGCAATGTCAAAATTAAGATCTCTGGATTAAATTAGAGAGAGGAAAAAAAAAAGGTGATAGAAATTCTGGAGAAAATGGACTTTTAGTCTTACAAAATCATAAGGAACTAGAAGCATTTTGGAAAATAAAAGTTCACTTATTCTCTGTCTAAAGCAGGAAAGACTACTAGGTCAAGTGATTGCCCAACTGGTAACTTCTCACCTTTCAGGTAACCTCAAAGGAAGGTAGCAAGACCCATTAAATATAAAACACAGCACAACTGTTACAATAAACACACTTCTGGAAAATATTATACAAATGGAGCTCAGCAGGTACTCTGGAATTTCTATGCACTCTGATTGAACAGATGATCACATTTCCTAATGTCAGGACTGTAAATTCAGGGCAGCACAGTACTTGACTACTGAAAAAAAGACACATTGCTACTAGTGCTGTAAACCAAGAAACACCTACTGGCCCCAACTGACTGACATTTTCAAGTATTCTTTCTGACAGTCAAGAAGAAAAAAAATTTGATTATTAGAAATATTGTTGAAGGACTGAAAATACCCAGCAGCTTTTTATCCAAAGCTCCTGCTAACAACTGAAAAAAAAAAAAAAAAAGAGAGAGAGACAAGGGAGTTTCCCCCTTGCAGGCAGACATGAATTTTCAGTTTTCTGCAAGTCTAAAAAGCATATTAATAGAAACAGAAAAACAAAACTTTTCACCTGTCTGTCTCTAAAGCAGCTGCAAAAATACTTCATTTCCTTGCTGTCAGGTTCAAGTCTGATACCCTAACCTTTTCTTCAACTTTAAACAAAGTCATATTTCTCTGTTTGTTTAGTGTTCCAGCATACGTGGCAAGTAAATATCCTTTTGGCTTCAAAGTTTCCAGGATAGCTGAAGTCATTCTTCTCTTTCATCCAGAATTTTCTTGCTTCAGCTGTAGCAAGACACCTACCAGTTTACAACTTACCACACAACGAACAGTAGGAGCACAAATCCACAGATCCTTTCTACTGGTGTATAACTTTTGATTCAATTTTGTTAAACAAGTAACAGTTTTTACATTGGAACGCCATGGGAAACCCAAACCAAGTGTTTTCCGTGGTCCCAAGTAACTACTTACAAATTATCACCACAAAGACTGATGTTTGTTAAACTCCTAAAGTGTCAAAAGCAAGAGCTGATGTTCAAAAGAAAAAATACTCTTTGAAAATACCTTTGCTTGGCTTTCTCTCCATTAATTCTGTAACTCTCATGTACCATATAAACTTGTAACTCACAAGCTTTTAACCTGGTAATACGTATTAAAGAGTTAAACCACAATACAGAAACTGGGACATGTGGCAAGTTACTGTCAAGAGAGAGCAGTTTGTCCTGCAGGAACTGGTGCAACTTAAAAGAGAGAGGTTTCTGCGTTTTCTCCACCAGCCATAAAGAATGTGCAAAAAAGACTGTTAACATAATTCAGTAAGGATGCATCTTTTATATTTATCTTAGCTAGATTTACAGCTTCTCCTCAGAAGTGTGTTACTTACAGTACACTTCAAAATAATTATTACATGAGGAAAGTCAGTCCACTCTACGTAATTCTTTATTCTTAAGCATACCTAAACTAAGCTGAGGTATTTCAGAATGGTTTGTATATCCAGAACATGAAGACACCTGCACGGAAAATCACAAGTCATATTAAAAGAAACCACAGCGAGCCTGGCTCACTGTCATATGACAGTCACATACTCAGAACAGGCTACAACACACAGACATGGTACCAGATCCCCTTTTTATTCTACTTGGTTCTACAAACACTGTTTGTTTGCAAAAGAGCTACCAAACTCCATCTAACATATCCTACCACAGAAGAAATATTTTACATAATTTTTACCCACAAAATAAATAAGATCAGTTTGTATTCTCCAGAACCCAATGACTACAGACAGCTCTTCCTGAGCTTCCTTTTCCCAATAGTTTTAGGAGTCCGGATTTTTAAACCAAACAGCTACCAAAGGTGAAAACTGTTCATAGCTTAATGTGAGATAAAGTGGTTTGAGGAAAGATGAGGGACAGATTAACAGAGTTACTGCTAGCAATTCCTAGCTACCATTCTGAAAGCCACCATAGCCATCCTGACACTGCCCTTCCCGAAAGTAACATTTGTTCATTTCTTTTTAAAGGCTGTACAGGTGCTCTGATTTATTTTAGCTTTGTTTTCACCCCTACCTCCCTGCTGCTTCTCTAGAACATCATGTCCTATAGGTTGCCTTCTCCCCCAGGTCAGCAATAATAACTCCAAAGAAAAAAAAAAGGCAAACAGGTATTTTACTTACCATATAATTGCTATATGCATGATCAAACATTTCTAGCACTTGGTTTCTAGAAAAGAAAAAAAAGGATAAACATTAGTGGTCTGCCTCACAATGGCCTTTAACACACCATCTTACACCTGGAAGATGTTCTTACACTTTAATATCCAAGTATCAGTAACAGGTTCTTTACTAATACACTCAAGTAAATGAAATATGGCATAATAATTTCTCCTAATTCAACTAATTTTGTTCACTGCATAAAGGAAAGACTATTTTTTTTTGCCTAATATGAAATTAAGTATTTGGGGATCTCTTTCAACCTCCTGTGCTTCCCCTTCAACAGCTGTAGATGTCACCAACACATTAAAGCAAGAGATGGGACACATTCCATGCTCAGCAAAAAAAGGGCAAACAGAATTATGTTCTCCTTCTAATCACCAATACTACAACCAACTGACACAGCATAAATTCCTGTCCACAGTTCAGAAAAGGACCATATGTTATGAGCTACGCCTCTTCCTTGCATCAGGAGTCTTGGCAAGCCAGTACTAAAGAAATCCCTTGTAGATACATTTATTTTACACGTTTGAAAAGCAGTTCAAAGTGAAAAATGCTGCTATATAAAGACAATTTTTTTGAGAGACAGCACTACTTCCAACTGTTCCTAACTGTTTTACTGAGGAGCTCTGCAAGGCAGAAGAGCACACTAATTTCTGAGCTACCATCCCTCACATCACTCTGCTGATAGGGCTGAACATAAAAGAGACAAGAACATCACAATTAGATTGTAAACATCTGATTTAGTTCAATGACTTGGAGATTTAATAAGCAGTTTTAACTCCTCAAATGCATTAAGTCATCAAAAGAGCAGAGTGTGATGCTTTTGCCAGGCACTTCCCAGAGAAGATCCAGCCTGCAGCTCCATGATCCGCTGCAGCAGACGGAACCCCGGGGTTCAGCACACGAGTGCCACGTCCGGATGAATCAGGCACCCCGTACTGTTCCGTGATGTGGCAGGCAGAAAAATGCTTCAAACTCAGATTTCTTTACACACAGCTTACATTTACCGGGTATTTTCTGAAAGAATTTCTGTTTCTGACATGATCTGGTTATTAAATACACAGATTACCTGCTGTTGGTCAGGAATGACTCATGTCTGAGCCCCCAGATACCAACCAGGGTAAGGCATTACTTATGCCTGTGGCATCAGATGTTACAGCCAGCACAAGGTTTGAATGCAGAAATATTAAAACTATCAGTGAATCAAAGTTAAAATCCTTCTGTAGTCACATGTGGAAAACGTATAAAACATTCGTTAGTTTAACTACCCTGAGAACTCCAGATGAAAAACGCCAGTAACTATAAACATCATCAGAGTTAAATATCAAATTCTATGTAATGATCAGTAACTGTGAAAGGCTCCACGGTGCTTCTCCAGCAGACTTTTGGCATTATTATTCTGAGCAACCAACCAGTAGGTGGGACTAGGATGACGATGAAACTGCCCCAGCAATACACGAAGATCATTATATACTCATTTACAGGTTTGCCTAAAAAAACCGTACTCTGTGCAGTGTGATATATTGCCACCTGTACTAGAATCTTTATCCTTCAGCTCCAAACCATACTAACAGGGAGTCAGCTTCTTACATGTGCATGCAGAGGATGGCAGCAGTTCACTTCACATGCAGGAACCAGGCAAAAATACACATAAACATTTACCTTTTTTCTTAGGACTCCCAAAGGCTCATGCTTTCCAGAGGCATCGTCATAATTAAATCAACTGACTAGGGATTTAGCTTTACCTTTGATCACTTTGACAATGACACACAACCACTGCCTGCAATCTCCGAGTCTGGGTCTCCGCAGCGTGTGGCGGAGGGGTGGGACCCCACAGGCAGCAGAGGCGGTGAGGGGCTCCCTGCCCCACACAGCCCCGGACACCCAAACCCAATTACCAGCCCGGCTCTGGCATACACACCTCCAACACCGATGGGAAACCGGTGCCACCCACCTCCTACGGTCTTTAACGGGGGAACGGGAGGGACGGGAGAGCCGCCCCCGGGCCAGGGGCACACCCGCACCCCTCCAGC